TCAGCTCTTCCTCAGTCATATTTTGAGTGCTTTCCTATATAATGGGTTCATCTTCTGGCACTATATCAGACATTGCTTCAGGGATATTCATAATAATTTCAAGTAATATATCAGACAATGTTTCACTGGTATTCATAAGGTTTTCATTGCCCAATTCTTTGAGAAGTGAATGGCCTCTCCCTTCTTCTGAGTCTGTCTTAGTCTAGAAGCTCTGCTGTAACCTGTCTACCATGGGTGACCCTGCTGGCACTTGGCAACACTGGTGGCATAGCCTCTAATCTCACAGCAACACACAAGCCATCTCAGGACAATAACTGATAGACAAGTTCATCTCCCTTAGTTTTTCCTAGCTGCTCTGCTCACTTCCCCCCCAACACACAACTATCCAGGGCCCAGCCTTAAATAAAGCCTCTCCACAAGGCCCTGAGCTGTGTGCCCACCTACCTCTCTAGGGCCCAGCCTCAAAATGTGAGATCAGTAGCATGACAAATGTCTCAGAAATATTTGGTCCAAAAGTGTAGCCAGCTTGTTGAGGAGCTATACCTCAACCACCACAATCATCTGGATCCTACCACAGCAAGACACATATTGGGCCCTCATGGGAAACATCTTATAGGTGATTTAGTGCTTTTCTGTAAATCAGTGTATCGATGGATAGTGAGAGACCACCCTGGAGACAGAAGATGTGTCATCAGCCAATGCAGTGAAAAGTAGATAGTCAAAAAGATCTGGAAAATATTGCCACAATTTACATCCTATATTTCCTTAAACATTCATCATAGAAACCATATGCTGTGTGATCTATCTGCTCTTATGATTCCCTGAAAGAATGGTGAGGTGTTCACAGTAACAAACATTAAGAGCTACAAGCACTCTAACTATTTCAACTGAATAATATCCTCTGTTAACATAATTTCTTATAAACAAGTAATTTGGATCTGTGTTTTGCCATCAATTCTAAACAGTTCCATGAGATCATGAAGTGGCCCAAGTACATCTCCACAGACAGTGACTGGACACTGAACTTTTTATGCACAATGGATTCTTTTGTTAGGGTTTATTTAGACCTCTCACATTGGCTGTTGACATGGGACTCACTCAGATAGCTGCTATTCATCCCATTGATCCAGCTCCTCAGGGAACACTTTCCCATCCATAATGCCACCTGCTTGTACCAGCTGTGCTCCACACTACTCCCATTACAAACACAGTATCTGGGCCACATACAAGGGCCACCACAGATTCCCAGGCTACCACTGTGGCTACAGGCAGTTGCTCTGCACAACATTGATCCACTGTGTGTCTCCACAGTGCACTGTCACTAGCTGCTGAGCCTCCTTCTCTGCTCATTCTCCCTCTTTAAAGTTTTAAATAACAAAGATGTCACATTGATCACTAAGGTGAGTTTGACCCAAGCCATGGCCTTCTCAACAGCCTCATATGCATGCAAGAGTTGAACAGTGAAAAATGAAGGTAGGAGAACTGGTGTGTTCGACGAAGAATATCAACAAAATATTAGGTTGGTAAAAAATATTGAATACACCATGGTCTACAAAAAGAACAAACAAATCAGCCTTGGAAGAAGCACAACTAAGTATTCCTTAGAAGTGAAGATGACAAGTCTTTGATTTGCTGACTTTTGACCAGTCATCAGGAAAGACAAATCTCTCAAAAAGGACATCATGCTTGATAAAGTAGGGGAACAATGGAAATAAGGGAAATCCTCGAGGAGATGGACAGACATTTATGGGTAAATATTGAATGATGCTGGAAGTATCAAAAGAAAATGGAAAGAATACACAGAGTCACTGTACCAAAATGAATTTTTCAATGTTCATCTGTTTCAAGAGGTAGCATATAATCAAGAACCAGTCAAATAAATCAGATGTCCTATTGCACTGGGCAAATCCTCTGCAAAAGATCTCTTTAAAATGCTAAGGAGCAAAGAAGTCTTTTTGAAAACTAAGGTGGCCTAACTCAAGCCATGGTATTTGCAATCACTTCATATGTATATGAAAGCTGGACAATGAATAAAAAAAGACCAAAAAAAAGTTGTTGCCTTTGAACTGTGGTGTTGGTGAAGAATATGAAGGTACCATGGACTGCCGGCAGAACAAACAAATCTGTGCTGGAAGAAGTGCAGCTGGAATGCTCCTTGGAAATGAGAATTACCAGTTGTTGTCTCTCCTACTTTGATCATGTTGTCAGAAGAGACCATTCGCTGGAGAAAGATATCATGCTTATAGTAGAGGGGACGAACCTCAGCAAGAAGGATTAACATAATGACTACAACTTTGGCTTCAAGTATAGCAAGAATTGTGAGGATGGCACAGCACTGGACAGTGTTTCCTTTTGTTGACATGGGGTTACCCTAAGTCGGAGCTGGCTTGATGGTACCTAACAAAAACAACAGGTTTCTGACCAAATAGTCTGGGTGGCTCTGTGTGTAATGTACTTGGCTGCTAAACAACAGATCAGTAATTGAGACCCACCAACCACTCAGCAGGAGAAAGACGTGACACTCTGTTTCCATAAACATTATAGACTTGGAAATTATGAATAATTCCATTATGTATTAAAGTATACACTGAGTCATAATGGAATAAATACCAGTGGGCGAGTGGCATAGCTTTCTGACTAGCCCATGAATCCCAGAGGATACAGTAATCTAGGACTTTCTGGGTTTTCTTGCTACTTCTAAAGACCTCTCTGAAATGTGAAAAAGAGTTTTAGGAGAGAAATACTTTAAAAAAATAAAAATAAAAAACTTCAATGCCATCCAGACAATTCCAACTCCTAGCCACCCCCACTGGTTTTCTGAGGTTGAAATCCTTACAGAAGTGGAATGCCCCATCTTTCTTCCATGGTACAGTTGGTGGGTTTGAATCAGCAATCTTCTGGATAGTGGTCAAATGCCTTATCCACTAAGACACCAGAGCTCCTTGCACTTTAAAATAGTAACCATTAATTTTATGCTTTATTGCTGTAGCTCTCAAACAATCAATAATGGTTTTCCAGGAAAAGATTATTATCAATAAGAAAACCAAAGCTCCTTGAGTGACATGAGTCAACAGAGAAACTACATCACAGTCCACACACAGTAATCATGCCACCCTGCTGTTCGCATGGCATTCAGCTTCCTTGACAATCCAAGTTTAGGTAGAGATATTGAACTCTCGAGTGGTTAGGAGCCAAGTGTGGAAAATATAAGTCCCTATTCAAGAATGGATGTTCTTGAGTGTGTCTCTCCAGAATAACTGACATGTCACTCAAAGGAGATAATTATTCCTGAGAGAGCAAAACAAGTTCCCTGAACTTTTATGGAAACTTCTTTATATATCTATGCAGTGGAAGGTTAACATGTTTTTAGTAATTCACATATTCAGAGCTAGATTCACCATGGGTGTTGTGATTCATTGAAATGTGTTTCTTCCACACTTTCTGCCTCTTGCATCACTGGACCAGAGCCATGGATAGAAGATCAATGCTTTTTAATGTTTCCAGTAAATCCATTCTAAATTCAAATCCAGATTTTCTGGGAAAAGGTTTTGAGATTTAGAGTAAAAGTAAAGTTTTAGGTTCATAATATCACTTTATAAACATTGTTTTGATACAGAATTTTCTGAATGTTCTCTTGCCAAGTTTGTCATATCTTTCCTACAGAAAGTTATTTATTTCAAAAGGAGGTGTCTTGGAAGATGGAATTGTTACACTCTAAACATCCCTGATGTCATCTGTAAAGACTATTAAAGTAAGTCTCTAATAGTGTTGTCTCTTAATTAAGATGATTACTATTTTTATAGATTAATTATTATTTTTCAACACTTTCAAAAATAGTAATAGAGTATTTTATCTTAACTCCAAATATTCAAAATATTTGAGTAATTATAATTAACTCATTTAAAAGGTAACTTGGAGCTCACAGACATTGAAAAATTTATAGGACTACAACCTAGCTCTCTCACATCAGATACCATGATTCTGCCAGGAGACAATTTCTTTTAATAATCATTCTAATCATGTGGATCAAAATATGATTTAAATACACATTACACACAAAAGTCATAGATATGACTTGAAAACCTCTTCCTGGGATCCAATTTCAATGTGAGTCTCCCTGGCTTCTTTAGAGGTAATTGTGGATGATTTTTCTTGTACTTATTACATGAGGTTAGGTGTTTCACCATGTTTTGCTCATATATAAACTTCCTATCTCCTAGGTGCACATACAGTCATAAAAAGGGAGTCAATAAAGTGATATGTATGAGTCCAGTGCTGTGCTGGATGTGTTCACATGTGATCTCTTAATCAATTCTGAGAACAACCAGTGAGGTGGACATTATTTTTCCCTTTACATAAAAGAGAAAGAGGATGTAAGATGCTAAGAGTTGTACCTCAGATAAACAGACTTGCAAATGACAGATTGTAGATCTGATCTTTCTGCTTCCAAAACCAATATACTTAGAACAATACTCAGCCAGGAAGAGAATCCAAGTCCTGAAACTAGTTCAAGATGAAATTTAAAAGTGTTATGCTGAGTACAATAAGTCCGTCACAAAAAGACAAATATTGATCCCATTTATATTAAATATCTAGAATAGGAAAGTGCATAGAGACCAAGTTTTATTAGAGGTTATTAGGGGCTAGAAGAGACAGGACAAAAGGAAGACTCAAAGCTTAGGGGACACTTACCTTCTTTTAAGGGTACTGGAAACATTTGGAGATGGATAGTGAAAATGGTTGAACAACATAATAGACATAATTTAATGTCACAGAAATATATATGTCAAAAATACTGAAAAAGTAAATGTTTTATTATGTATATATTTTCCACAATGAGAGAAAAAAGCCTCTGAACTTTTATTTACCTCTTAAAAAAATTACAAATCAATAGAATTATATTTATTGCTTACTTGAATGAAAAGCTTAATAAATTCAGGATTATATTAATAAAAATTGTTTTCTTTGTAGGTAATATAATGAGCAGTCCCATTATATACATGGAGATTAAGAACAATGTGACAGAGTTTATTCTGCTAGGGCTCACGGAAAATCCAAAGATGCAGAAAGTTGTATTAGCTGTGTTTTTTCTCATCTATGCCATCACTGTGGTAGGAAATGTGCTCATTGTGGTCACCATCACCACCAGCCCATTGTTGGGCTCCCCCATGTACTTTTTCCTGGCCTATCTCTCCTTTATCGATGCTTGCTATTCCTCTGTCACTACCCCAAAACTGATTGTAGATTCATTCCGTGAAAGGAAGACCATCCTATTGAATGAATGTATGACCCAAATCTTTGGAGAACATTTCTTTGGAGGTGCTGAGGTCATCCTTCTTACTGTGATGGCTTATGACCGCTACGTGGCCATCTGCAAGCCCTTGCACTACACAACCATCATGAACCGGAGAGTGTGTGTCCTGCTAATAGGAGTCTCCTGGGTGGGAGGCTTTCTTCATGCGACCATACAGATTCTTTTCATGTTTCGATTACCCTTCTGTGGCCCTAACATCATAGATCACTTTATGTGTGATCTGAACCCTTTGCTCAATCTTGCCTGCACTGATACCCACATTTTAGGGCTTTTTGTTGCTGCCAGCAGTGGGTTCATTTGTCTGTTAAACTTTCTCCTCTTGCTGATCTCCTACGTGGTCATCCTGCGCTCCCTAAGGACCCACAGCTTAGAGGGGAGGCACAAAGCCCTCTCAACTTGTGTTTCCCACATCATAGTGGTTGTCTTATTCTTTGTGCCATGCATATTTGTGTACATGAGACCTGCAACCTCTCTACCTGTTGATAAAGCCGTTGCTGTATTCTATGCTATCATAACTCCCATGTTAAATCCTTTAATCTATACCTTGAGAAATGCCCAAATGAAGGACACTATTATGAAATTGTGCAGTAAGAAAGCTATTGTAGGTGATAAGTAAATATCTCTAGATCTTAAGAATGATTCAGTTGAGGAAAGAGTCAAAAGAACACTTACAAGGATCTCAGAAAGAAATATTTACAGGATTAAAAAGTTGATCATTGTAATTCATAACTTTTGCAATTAGCAGACTATGAATAGGAGGGAAAAAGAGAAAAACTAATCCAGGAGCATTCTTTGCATACTGGAAAATGTTACCAAATTCAGACACAGTTTACTAGCATATTCCATGGAAATAGATATGTAATATTTCCCTTTAATTAAAAAAATATATACAAAAATATAATAAAATTTATTGGTATTCATCAATAATTCCTATAAGTGCTAAGGTATCAGCACCTTTATTGCCTCAATTTACAGGCAAGGGACTGAGAGAAACTGATAGGTATCAAAGCAGGCATATTGAAGAACCAAGAACCAGAATGTGATTGATTATTAAAAGTAGGTTTGAAAAAATTATGGCTATCACTACACACAAAGCAATTTCTTAATAAGTATATTCCATTTCTTCCTTCATTCATTCATTTGTTATTGATCAACAGATACTTTTGAACCCAGGGAGCATAGTATGCCAATAATACTTGGTAGGATTTCAGTTTTAAGTAGGAAGAGATCTGCTTACAATTCATTGAGAGACTCCCAGAAGGCAGCAGAAAAGTACAACACAGTGATACAAATGACTGCATGTGTGAAAGCACATGGAGGAATGCAGAACCACATCCTGGGGGTCAGGAAATATGTCTTAAATGAAAGCATCGACAATCGCATTGAAGAATAAAATGAAGTCAGTAGGATAAATAGACATAATATCAGTGTGAGAGAATACATGGAAGATAGAATACACAGGCCAGGATGTGTAAAAGAGCCTGGAATATTCAGGAAACCTAAATAATTTAGTACGGTTGTGGTTACTAATCCTTCTGTTCATTCAGCTTATTTTCTGAAGCCACAATGTATGCCAGAAAACTTGCTGAACACTGCACATGTTAAAGGATAAAACAGGAAGACATGAAGCTAGAGGACCAGAGAAAATCATAAAGAATCATATAACTCAGCTGAATGCTGAGGACAATGGAGAAGCACTGAATGGTCTTTCAAGCCACCCATGATATGGCTGGACCTGAGTTTCAGAATGTTAACCTCAGCTACAGTATGGGAGCAAGACTAGACAAAGGACAGCAGTTAGGGGTTTAACATAATGATCTAATGTGAAAGGATGGAGGTCTTGACTCTGGTGGTGCCAGTGAAGATGCAGGGTCAGTGCACCCATGACCTGGCTGCTTGAGTTGAGGCTCCTACCAAGTCACAGTGCCACCATCCTCTGGGTAATTGTACCAGACAATTTTGAAGCTCTCTAACATGACAGGGTCATACTCACTGGCAAAAGGTCCAAAAGGCAGACCCCTTTACGTCAAGGTGGGCCCTGCTCTGTACTGCAGTTTGTACTCCAGAGCCCCTATGGCTGCAAACTTTAGCCAGATTCCAACTGAGGCCACAGCCATTGCTACACCTTTCGTAGACTTCTTCACTTACTACTTTTCTTCAAGTAAGATGTACTTTATTACATGTAGGATTAGAGAGAGGACAGTCATGGGTAAAACTGGGTTCTGGCTTAAGTCACAGGGTGGGTAAGGGACCTGAAAGATAGAATGGAAAATATGAGTGTGCTTTAAATATGTTGGAAAAATCGGAACCCCCGCACATTGCTGGCAGAAATGTAGAATCATGCAGTTACTGTGGAAAACAGTTATGTGATTACTCAAAAAGTTAAATGTAGATTTATCATTTTATCCAGTAATTTCACTCTTAGGTATATACTGAAGAGAATTGAAAACATAGATTTAAAGATAAACTCGTACAAAAAGTGTTAAATACATTCACAAGAGCCAAAAGATAGAAACAACTGAATGTCCATCAACTTTCAAAGTTGATATTTGATAAACAAAATGTACATATATCCAAAACCAAAAAACTAAATTCACTGCCCGCAAGTCACTTCCTACTAATAGTGACCTCCTCCTTGGGTTTCCGAGGCTGTGTCTCTAGGGAAGTAGATTGCTCAATCTTCCTTCTGAGGAGTGGCTGGTGAGTTTGAACTTCCAGCCTCTGGTTAGCAGTCAAATGCCTTAGGCACTACACCAACAGAACTCCCTTACATATATCCATACAGCAGAATATTATTCGGTGATTAAAAGGTATAAAATACTAATAAATGCTACAAAAGGGATGAATACTGTAAGGAATATGCTCAATGAAAGACGTCAGGTGCAAAAGGCCATATATTGTATGATTCCATTTATATGAAGAGGTGTTGTTGTTGTTGTTGTTGTTATTTGCTGTGGAGTCAGACCTGACTCAGTGATCCCTCTTTGGGTTTCCGAGGTGATATCACTACAGAAGTAGATTGCCCAAACTTCCTTCCGAGGAGTGGCTGGTGGGTTTGAATGACCAGCCTTCTGGTTAGCAGTCAAGTGCCTTAGGAATGAATTGTACACTAAAATGGTAAAACGGTGAATTTTATGTTGTGTTAATTTTATCTTGTTGTTGTTGTTGTTGTTATGTGCGGACTCATAGCGACCCCTCCTTGGGTTTCCGAGGCAGTATCACTACGGAAGTAGGATTGCCCAACCTTCCTTCCGAGGAGTGGCTGGTGGGTTTGAACCGCCAGCCTTCTGGTTAGCAGTCAAGTGCTTTAGCCACTATGCTACCAGAGCTCCTTAATTTTATCTTAATTTAAAAAAATAATAATAATAACAATACCAAAAAAAAAAATCTGAATTGGATGAAATTGAAAGCACAACCTATCCAAACTTGTGGGAAGCAGTAAAATCATTTCTTAGACAGAAATTCTGAGTATAAAATGGATATATTTATAAGAAGTAAATTTTGAAATAAGTGGTCAATGTTTTAGACTTAAGAAGCTAGAAAAATAAGACCAAATAAAGCAAAAGTAAATAGAAAACAGGAAATAGTAAAGATAAGAATAAAAATCAGTGCAATAGAAATGATAGACCTAATATAAAAATAAATGAAATAAAAAGCTGATTCTTTGAAATTTTAAGTAAAATGTATAAACCCCTACCTGGAGGCGAGAGGAAAAGAGTGAGAACATGAGACAGAAAGAGAGAATAGCCTGTATCAAGTATGAAATATACATCATGGCATGTGCTCCATACATTAACAGAACACTAAGAAATCATCATAAAAAGCTTAAGCCAATAAACTTGACATCTTAGGAACCAATTTTTTAAAAAATTACAAAATCTTACTGAAAAATAATTTGAGACAAAAGCATAACTTTTCTATATCGGTTAAAGAAATTGAACTTGTCATTAAAATCCTTCTCAGTAATTATCTCCAGACCCAAAGCCTTTACTTTTGGCCATTTACTCCAAAATATTAAAAGAAGAAATAATAGCAGTTCAATAAAAAACTATTTCAGAAAAGAAAACACTTTGCAGCTCATTATATGAAGCCAACTTCGTCTAAATCCAAATCACATTAGAAGAAAGAATATGTTAATATCTTTTATGAAAATATACAGAAAAGTATTTAACAAAAAGGTACCAATAAATACCTATCAAAATGATTTTAAAAGTAATAATAATACACTAATACCATATGGACTTTATCTCAGGAATAAAAGTTGGTTTAACATTCAAAACTCAATAAACATAATTCCCCAAATTAACAGAGTAAAGCCAAAGAACCACATGATCATCTCAATACCCACTACCACTGAGTTGATTCAATCATCTCAATGAATGCATAAATTTTTGGTAGTATTCAACCCAGCCTTAGTGTAAGAAAAAAAAATTCTTAGTAAATAAGGTATAGAAAAGAACTTATTAAACCAGATAAAGAACACCTGCATAAAGCCCACAACTCATGTCAATTTAAAATTGAAATTGAAAATAAAACACTATATAATATTAGAAAACATGAAATATGCATAAATATTAAAAATGCATTTATGACTTATATATGAAAACTAGAAAACACTGCTGAGAGATATTAAAGACATAAATAGGGGTATAACCAAAACCAAACACACTGCCATTGAGTCAGCTCCAACTCATAGCAACCCCTCCTTGGGTTTCCAAGGCAATATCGCTACAAAAATAGATTATCCAACCTTCCTTCCAAGGAGTGGCTGGTGGGTTTGAAGTGCCAGCCTTGTGGCTAGCAGTCTAATGCCTTAGGCACTAGGTCATCAGAGAATAAGTGTATAAGTAGATAAAAAAAAGTGTTCCATATTCTGTAGAATATTACTATACCATAAAGAGAAATGAAGTCTTGAAACATGCTATAACATGTATGAATCTTCCAAACATTATGCTGAGGTAAATAAATCAGTCACAAAAGTACAGTTATTGCATAATCCCATTTAGAATAGAAAATGTGTAGAGGCCAAAGTTTATTAATGATTATACAGCTTTCAGTATAGATTAAACCTCAATGTTAAAAAAAAACCTTCACAACTGGACCAATAAGCAACATCATAATAAATGGAGAAAAGAAAATGTTGAGGTTGTCCAGGTTTTAATTTTACAAAGATCCACAATCAACAGCAATAAGAGCTGCAGTAAAGAAATCAAACAACAGGAGGAAAAAAGATGCCATCCTGCTAACAGACCCCATCCAAACCCTGTTCAATAGAGATTTAGAGAAACTCAGTGAAACAGATACAAATAATGATCCTAGAATTACGAGCATATAATAAGAAGATAAAGTATTAGATTGGGTGCAGACAGGAAATGGAGAGAGGTCAGTGCCTGGGTGGGGGTCAGGGGGAAAGACCAGACCAGCCCGAAGAGAAGCCATTATAAACACAAAGGAGGACGAGGAGAAAGAAGAAAAACTTCACAGAATCCACAGGTGTTAAAGGCACAGGCTAGGTAGAACGGGAGGATTCCAAAGTGAGCTAAAGCTGCATGGGAGAATACTGCACAGGGAAACAGACCCGACCTCTGAGGCGTCAGTGGGCAGGAAATCACGAGA